GTGGGGGAGGGGAAGGAAGAATTAATTTTCACTGAGGGCCTCCTCCGTGTCCCATGGCTCAGTCCTGTGGATGTGTCCCTAAGAGTCCCTTCCCCTCTCTGGGTGCTACCACCCACTCACAGTACCCGGCTCACTTCCTCATACACCAAGCTCAGGACCCTCCCTGAGACACTCAGAGCCCAGGTCTTCTGCAGACATAGTAGAATCCCCTGGGGACGGCCCTGCAGCTTTCTCACTAGGTCTGTTCCTGCCACCCCGACCCAGCAGGCTCCGCTCAGCTTAGACCGCCCGGGCCCACCTTGCTCTTCTGCCCATAGCACCCACCATGGTCTCTGCATCTCATTAGGCTGCTGATGCTCCCTCCCGCCCTCTCTCCCCTCGAGCTCCCCGAGGGTAGGGATGTTTGACTGCTATACTCCATGCCAGGGGTGGAGTGGGTGCTCAGAAATACATCGAATGAATGATGCTGCACTTTTCAGAGGTGCCTTCAGAGAGCAGTGATTTCCCTTTGTACTAAAGAGACCCTGGAGGGTGACAACGCCAACATCACAAAGCCTGACAGTCTGACTGGGCGAGACTGTGACTTCAGCCACATCATCATGCGACACTGGATTCTGCCACAGGGCCTGGGGTGGTAGCTGCAATCTCCAGAGGAAAGGAGGCATGCCCACGGTTAACAGGGAGCCCGAGTCTGTCCAGGATCTGGGTAGTCACCAGGGCGCCTCTGAGGGGGCACGAGCGGTGTCTGTGAGCACAGCTTGGAGGACTGGGACAGGTGGGTGCCAGGGGCAATCCAAAGCCATTCTCATGGTGCAGGCACCTAACTAACCATCAAGGCTAGATCCAGGTGGGATACAGAGACAAAACCAAGGCACACTGAGGCGCTGTCAGTGGACAGAGCAAGAGGCAGGGCCAAAGGACACTGCCAGTTCTAAGGAAGCAAGGCCATCCTGCATCGAGTCTTCGTAATACCTTCAGCAGTTCTGTTCAACTGGAAGGATCTAAGGCTCTGGCTGTCACAGACAGTGGGGACACAAGTTTCCTGTTTCCAGAAAACTGAAACAAACCGCTTGTTGTGGACAGTGGAGGCCCGATGGGCGCAACCTTACGTCGACAGGCAGGTCTGTGGAGAGGGCCGTGGCGGAGCGCTTGCCTCGCACAGGCAGGCCCTGGGCTCCATCCCCAGAGCAACACGGAGAAAAACCACCAAGCTCTCCACACGACCCCGCCCGCAGTTGGAACTAAAATCCAGCCGAAGCTCTCTGAAGAGCTGCTGCCACGTGGCACACACTGAGGAGGTCCTTACCTCCAACTCAGGAGACCAGGTCTACTGTCCACACTGGGCACTGCCGGGGGTCAACAGGGTGGGCGCTGGAAACAGTGAGGCCAGACGCACAGGTGGGCACTGGACACACGGGCATGTTTTCACAGTGCAAACGCAGACTGGCTCTAGACGAGGGCAACGCGGGCTGTCCACGCCCGTGTTATCAAGGGATGTATCCTGGACAAACCCCCGGGGATGCTCATGGCTAAAGCACCCCGATGCCCAAAGTGACCACTGCAGTGACCTCCCACACGTCCCAGCTGCAGTGCAGAGATAACTAGACTCAGAATCCCCTGAGTGTGACTGTGAGGAAGTGAAGCCACCGCCCCCTTTCTCCAGCCTGTTTTTTCCTCCCCCACGCAAAACACTCAATGAAACAACAAAACCACTTTTTAGATGAACAGACCCTAATGGTGCTCACCCTGTGCTCTTTTTCCTCTTGGCTTGGCACCACCAGCGGGGTTGGGACCGGCGACGGAAGCCTTCCTGTAAGAGAGGGGAAAGGTCTTGTTCATCTCGTGGCACAAGAAGCACAGAGGAGCCGGCAAGGAGCTTGCACCAGCTGGCAGCCAGGGTTTCCTGGGGACAGCCCAGTCCCTGTGCTGCCCAAGGACAATCTTAGTGAGGCTGGGCCACCTCAACAGGAAGCGAGGCAGTCACGGTCACATGGGCCTCATGGTGGAGCCAAATTCCTGGGCTGAGTAAAGAATGACAGGAGCTTTGGAGGAGAGAGGGAATTTTTGTTAAGTGTGAAGATCTCAAATTAGCCACGGGTTTACTCATTCCTCAGATGTTTATGTGCCTACTGTATGCTCCTGAAGATACCGTGCTAAACAAAATGCAGAGTTCCTTCCTGCAGAGGGACAATCTGTACCTTCCTTATGAGGAAGGTCCAGAGCGGGTAGAAGGGTATGAAAAGCAAAGAGGGTTCATTTATGGCAGAGGACAATCTGAGACGAGGATTCAGTAGGGCCTGGAGCAGGAAAGGAAGAAGGTGGACAGGGTATGAAGTTGGGGAGGTCAGAGTAGGGGCAGGCTGGAAGAGTTCTCAGTGTGGGGCTCGGGGTCTTGGACCTGTTCCTCTAAGTCAAGGAGGGCAAGCTTTCTCTACAGGGCCGCACAGTAAACACGCGCCTCTCTGTAGGCCTCGTGGTTGAACAGTCACGGATGGCAGAATGGAATGGGCGGGATATTTCCAATAAAACTTTATTTACAGACGAAGGCATTTTATGTAACCTTCATGTGTCCCAAAATCTTCTTTTGATTATAAACAACTGTTTAAAAATGCAGAAATGATTCTTAGCTCACCAGCTATACATAAAAGGGGCGCTCTGGCTCCACCCAAGCCTGCAGAAGGTGGAGCCCTGCTGTGGGCAACAGGGAATTGGGATTGGGAGAGTTTGAAGCAGGAGCTGGACAATGTCACGGGGATGTTTCATGAAGCCCACTGGCAAGTAGCAGGAAAATGGTCTCTGAAGTTCTAGAAAGGACAGGGGCCCCTAGGCTGTTGCCCCCTCACTGTGCCCCAAGGCCAGTGTTATTAGTTGGCCTAGGGTGTAAAACACCACAAACTGGTGGCTTACACAACAGACAGAAGGTTGAGATCTGGGTGCTGGTGAGGCTGGTTTCCTCCACCGGCCTCTTGGTGCCCGGGTGGCTGCATGTGTGTGCTCACGAAGCCTCTCCTTCATGAGTGTGTGGAGAGTGTGACAGGAAGCACCCCAGTGCCTCTACCTATAAACACACTAATCCTACAGGATATGACGACATTATAGACCACCACAACAGATGGGGTGCTACGGGCACGGTGGGAGGAGGCCAGGGATGCTGCTCAGCACCCTACAATGCCCAGGATGAGCTCCGTCAGAACTGAGACCGGGCACCACATGTCCATAGTGCCCAAGTTGAGGGCCCCTGGAGTGACAATTGGAAACACAAGACTGAACACAGAAGGAAATCTTAGAAAGTGCTACAAAACTCCTTTAAAGAAGTAAGAAAGCTGGCCTGGGGTTGTGGCTCAGTGGCAGAGCGCTTGCCTAGCATGCGTGAGGCACTGGGTTCGATCCTCAGCACCACATAAAAATAAACAAATAACATAAAGGCATTCTGTCCATCTATAACTACAAAAAAAAAATTTAAAAAGTAAGAAAGCCACAGTATTATTCAGCCCTAAAAATAAATGAGACTTTTTAATAAGGATGAACCTTGAAAATATTAAACTGAGTAAAAAAAACTAGATACAAAGACCACATAGGATATGATCCCCTTATATGACATGTCCAGAATTGATAAAGCTCCAGTATTTGGGGTGGGGCAGGGAGAGTGACTGCTAATGGGGACCAGTTTCCTTTTGAAGTGATGGAGATTTTCGGAAACGCTAATCCAGGAGATGGCTTCACAGACTGTGAATGTGCTGTGGGGCGGTTCACTTCACGCTACTGCATCCCACCTCCACTTAAAACCAGAGTGAACAAAGCCTGATGCAATAGGATAGAAGGGGCCTTGGGACAGGAATCGCTGACTAATCAGCTGAGCGGGTGCAGGAGAGTCGGGGATGAGCCAGAACCAGGAACCCAAACCAGCAACACTGGAGGAATCAGAGGGGACAGAGCAGAGTCCCTCCGGGATCTAATCCAAGGCTCTGGATTATGGTCAATCTTCCAATTAAATAGGGCAAGGGGAGGTGGCGGAAACGTCCATGACTGCTCCCACTGGCCCATGTCATTTCAGTTTGTGCAGAGGACGATAAACATTAGCCAGTGAACACAGGAGATGAGCACCGCCTCAGGAATTTGCCCATTTGCCCATCGACTATTAAGTGTGCGATCTCTTTCTTGTTCCCGCTGGGGGATCCTGGGCAAGCGACCTACCCTCCCTGAGTGTCTACTATATCCTCTATAAATGGGGAGCACAGAATAAGGAGGTTGGAAGGATGAAAGGAGATGCTTTAGTGGCCGCACAGCTCACAATGAAGGACCACACTGTTCCACGGGGAGTCTAAGCTTAGCCTTCAAGGCTGAATGGCGTCGTCAGCTGCATTTCGCAGAGAAGGAAAGTGAGGCACAGAGAGGTCAAGCCACTTGCCCCAGGGTCACCACGCATCAAAGCGGAGGGCGCGGGACTCGAACTCGTGGCCCTGCCCAGTGCCGAGTTCCTGACCGTGCGCAGAGGCCGCAAGTCTCCGGGGCCTCAAGGGACCTGCACGGTTCCCACGGGTCGGATCTGGACTCGTTCCAAGGTTCCCCCTCACCAGCTCCGCTGCCCGTTAGCCCGGCCCTAGACCAGGCCCGTCCCTCTGACTCCACAAATCCAGACCCGCGGCGCCTCAACTCACCCGGCGCCGCGCCCCGAAGAATCCGCCATTTTCCCGCCTTCTACTCAAAGGCCAGCTCTCCAAGGCTGGGCCCGTCCCCGCGCCACGGGTTGGACCATATTGCGGAGTTGCAGGAGGGGTGGCCACGGGCCGGGACGAGCTAGCCGAGCGCGAAGCCGAAGTTCCCTGCGCGCGAACCTCCCTCTCCTCGCCTCGAACAGTCTCACCCACCACCTCTGGGAGGCGGTGGCCTCGGTCGAATGAAGGGGCGCGGCCTCCTGGCGCCCCGCCCACAGGCGCGCTGGCGTCACGCCCCATCCCCGCCCCTCCGGAACCCGGAAGTGGGAGCGCGCGGGGGAGCGGCGGGCGCGGCGGGGCGGAGCGGCTGGAGAAGCGGCGGGCGGGCTGGCGGGTGTCCGGGCGGAGACCCGGCCCGGGACCGGCGGCGCGCGGCGGCCGAGGCCCAGGTGAGTTCCAGGCGGCTGTGGGTTGGGTGCTCAAGTTCGGAGAGTGCACGGGGAGCAGCCGCTGAGAAAAGGGACGGAGTTGAAGGCTAATGAGGGACGCGACGGCCGGGGTCGAGGGGGCGGGAACGAGGCTGGGGGTCGTGGAGAGGTTGCGGGGTTGGGTGGAAGCGAGACGAAGAAGGGAAAAGTAGACAGGGATGGAGCTGGTGAGGCAGCTTGTGGGCGTGTGTGGGGGGGTGAGTCTTGTGGCTTTGAGCAGCTTCTCCGAAGAGGACGTGGCTTAAGTGGTAATTGGGGGGTCGCAGGAAACGGGGCTGGGAGCGGGGGAAGACGAGGAGGCGGAGTTGAGAGGCCCAGACTGGGCGAGGGGGCAAGGCCGGTGCGAGAACAGCTGGGGTGCGGTCGCGGGGAAAGGGTACGGGACGGTCCTGGGGGCTTCTGCTCGCGACCCAAGCGCTAAAGGGTGTCTGAGACAGCGGCGCCTGGCACCCAGTGGGCGCTCAGTAAGTGTGAGAGGTTCTGAACCACTGGTGTAGCGGGCTGGCTTTGGGGAAGGGAAAAGAAGTGGGGACTGTATGGGAAGAAGAAAGGAGAGAAGTCAGGGTAGGTCGAGGGAGGGCCTGGGGAGGAGGGAGGGGAGAGGAGGAAAAGGGCTAGACTAGTACTGTGTAGCCGTTGGAGTGCAGCCCCCTGGAGGTTTGGCCTCCCTTCCCCTCTTGATAGATCCCCTTTCTGACTTCACACCCAGCAGCTGGGTGATCTGGAGGGGAGTCCCAGCGCCTCTGGGTCTGTCTCCCAATCTTGGAAACTACACCACTTTCTTCTGAAGACAGGACTAGCCAGATTCTGTGGTCCCTGAGAGAGCAAACAAGGTGCCTTGGGGATGCGAAATGTGTTTCAGAAGTGAAGGTGCTTTTATACAGGGGTATAAGCACTTCCTCGGAGCTGCATCCTCCTTGGACTTAAATGGGTAAAACGACATACAGGAAATCTTTCCCCCGGAGGCTGTGAGCTCCGGGGTAGAGGCCCAGTAGCGTGCACCCTCCCTTCTTTCCTGGGTGCCCCGTAGGCCAAGGTTCTTTAAGAGAAGGTCTCTCCATGATTCTTTGGGAGCTGGTAGAGATATTTAACTTGCAGCCTGAGAGTCCCCAGGGCATTTTTCTGGTCTTGGAGTCTCCAGAATCAAGGTGTCTAGAAGCAGCTGGAGGTGACCTGAGCAACTGGAAAGTTGTGTCCTGGGTCTGTCTCTGTCTGCTCTGGCAAGTGCCTCCAGCTTTGTCATTCTGATGGGCATTATCTGTGATCTAACAGAAGAGGGGCCAGGTTTACAGCTTATTTAAGAGATGCATCTGGATAGTTTGAATACAAAGAAAGCCTTAGATAACCTATTCTAGAATGTTCTGGCCTTTAGGGGAAAAGGCTTTCAGCCTTGCTTGCTCCAGGATGCACAGTTATAGCCCACAGCCTTGCCTCCTGGGGACATTGACTGTAGTTTTCTCTGGCTAAGACACCCCAGTGAACAGGGCTGATTCTTCCCGTCCCATGGCCGTACCTTTGCCTCCTCCCTGCACCAGGAGCCTGGCCCAGTGGGGTCTCATGGAGGAAGCACTGTTATGGTCTGGTCTCAGGCAAGTCTCTTTCCCTGTTTCTTCACCTGCAAAATGAATGGATGGGCTTCCATCAGCATTTTTCAAAACCCAGCCCCTGTTATTAACTGTGGTGTCTGCTGAACACACCCTCCCTCAGATTTTATGCATCCTCCATCTCTCAAATTCCCAAGACAATGATTTTACTTTTGTTCAGCTTCCTACTCTGCTCTTTTGTGTTCACAAATGATTATTAATTGCTTTTTTCATCTTTTTTTATTGTTTATGCAGTGTTGGGGTTCAAACATAGGGCCTCATGTATGCTAGATGAGCACTCTACCACTGAGCTACACCCCCAGCCCTTGTCTTCCAAGTAGAAAATCAGTGTGTTTTTGCACAGTGCACCCATTCCCCAAGGTTTGGACCTAACCATCCAGTTGGAAATCCCTGGGAAAGACCCTCCCTCAAGTTCAACTTGGTGACTATAAATCAGGTGGGGACTTGGGAATCTCCCCGGATGTCTGTAGGATCTGTTTTCTTTCCCCAGTAGGGACTCATTAACTTGGTGGTTCCCTTTGCTCATCTCTCCCAGGTTGTGTGTGTTGGGTCCAGGATTCAGTTAAGCAAGAGTTGGTTGTGCCAGGTACTTGACTGACACCCAAGGACAGCAATGAACCCTCATTGGCTGGAGGAGGGAGGGACATTTAGTGTCTCCCACATAGAAAGAGTGGAGTTCAGATCAGGTGGTCTGTGCAGTGACAGAAGGGTCACAATCTATCCTGGGTCAGGATCAGGGATGGCCAACATAAGCTTTGGGAGAAGGGGGATTCCAACAAGTTTCCTCGGAAGAGGTGACTGGCCTCGTGCCAAACTTGGAAAGGCGTCAGGGTGTTAACCAAGCAAGGAGGACAGACTTGCATAGGCAGCTCCTTTGAAGCCCTGCCCTTTTTGAGCACCTGCTATAATAGATGCTTTTATTGGTCCCCGTTCTCTTGTTCTACCAACCACCAGCAAAAGGGTTCATTGGTCCTGATTTCCTAAAATAGGCCCAGGTCAGTGATGACTTCAGAGATAGCTCTCTGAGCTTTTTTTCTAGAATGTAAAGGATCATAAGTAACCTTAAATTGCTGCAGACCAAATCTCTAGGGCAGAATTTCTCAACCGTGCCATCGTTGACCTTTGGGGCTGGATTGTTCTTTGCTGTAGGGACCGCCTGGTGTGCTATGGGACGGTGAGCACTGCATCCCTGGCCTCCACTTTTTAGATGCCAATAGCATTTGCTTCTCCACAAGTTGTGACAACCCCATATCTCTCCAGATGTGTTCCCATGTTCCCTGGAGAAATGCAAAATAGCCCCGGGGGAGAACTGATGCTATGTACTAAAATCTGGTTTCCGTCCAGGGCCCACTATGGCCTCGGGGGTCTTTGGTGTGTGTTCCACTCTCACCAGGCTGCTTCCTGGGGTGGCAGTGGGAGAAGACGCCCGCCCCTGAATTCTGCTGTCCAGTCAATTCTTTATCTGGAGAGTGGTTCTGACAAAAAGGAGGAACTGTCAGGAACAGACGACAGGGGAGATAGGGGAGCACCCCCAGGATGGACAGCCGAGGAGGAACTGGCAGGGACAGTGGGGGCCATTGTCTTGCTCTTCTTTGTATCACCACTGACCTGGATTTCTGGAGGCACCGTCCTCATCTGGGAACGAACAGTGACTTTTCTTCTGAGATTAGAGATACTAGATTCTCTTCTCAAAAGCTACTTTGCAAGTTGCCCCGGATAAGCACGCCTTTTGTAAGCCGCCCTGTCTCCTCCCATGTGCCTCCAGATGCCCATCCGTTCCCAAGCACACACTGTTTAGTTTTTGTTCTTGTTGCATGCATCCCTCACTGTCCCAACCACTGTGTCCCCCCCCCCCGCAACCCCCCAGCCACTGACCGTGACATTGCTGCTTCACCTCCGAGAGTTGGGGGAGACAGCCGACTCTGGTGTCATTCTGATGCTCCCTTCTGGGTGCTGCCCCGCGCCCTACCCATCAGCCCTTTGTGCATCCAGCATCCCCAGCCCAACTGTGCCAGGCAGCCCCTGCTCGGCCCGCCATTCAGCCAGCCCAGGCGTGGCCTCCCTGCAGAGCAAGACAGGCCCTTCTCTTCTGCCCTCCTCATCGTCCGGCGTGGCAGAACAAAGGGCCCTGTTTCTGCACCAGCCCACCACCACTGGGGGCGGCTCAGAGGAGCCCCGTTCCTTCTCAGGATTCCTTTTGGCTGGGAAAGAGCCTCTGAGATTAGGCATGTTTAAAAAATGCAGCCGATGAGTTTGGGTTCTACTCATTTCCTAGTCAAGACTTTCTGAGCCCAAGCCCAGTGATAAATAAAGTAGTGATTCAGGGGTTCGGCCTGTGGGTTCGTCGGGGTGATGAATAAGCTCTCCTTGTCTGACTCATTTGTGTGGATCCCAGCTCTGCCCAAGTTCACGGGCTCGCGTGTGTACGGGAGAGGGAGCCTGGCTGTGGGTACTTCACTGCAGTGGCTGCCCTAACAAAGCGCCACAGACGGTGGCTTTAACAAAAACTTATTGTCTCATGGTCCTGAGGGCCACATGTCCGAGACCAAGGCGCTGGCAGGTTTGGTTGCTTCTGAGGACTGAGGAGTCTATCCCAGGCCCCTCCCGTTGATGTCTCCCCATTCCATGTCGTCTTCCTCCTGTGCTTGTCTCCGGCCCAGTTTCCGAGGGACCCCAGTTATGTGGATGTAGGTCCACTGTAGTCCTCACTGTAAAGACCATAATTCCAAATAGAGTCACCTCTAAAGGACTAGGATCAGGATTTAAGCAAATGAATATTTGGGGTAAGGGACAAGCTTCATTTTTAGGTAGTAGAAGAATGTCGGGGGAGAGTCATAGCAGATAGGGTGCATTCATCCTGTCTTGTCACTCATTTAAACAAACCTGTTTAGGGGTGGGCAGGTTGGTTGGCCACGTCAACTTTGGAAGCTCCCTGTTAGGGAATTTTCCAGATCTTATAGTCATACATTGGAGGGTGATGAAGAGGCAGGGACCCTGTCCAGGGAGGAGTGAATCTCGAGGGATTTTTGCAAGGGGTCATTTTAGGGCTGACCTTACAGGCTACATGTGCCTTGCAGGTGATCCAGATGACACTGACAAATGTGGCATGGGGTGGGGGGCCTCTGTTCTCAGTATTGCCAGGGTCACAGGGAGGGGCTTCCAAAAGCAACTCCGTTGATGGGCTAAAATGGCCTCGAGATCAACTGCTGTCCCACATGACTGGACAAAAGAGGCTTCTGGAAGGTCTTCAAATCCTTCAGCAAAGGGAAGTGTTGAATTGGGAAGCAGACTCGGAGCTGGCCTGCAGGGGAGGGGAGCAGAAACAGTCTTCATGTGTTCAGCCAGGGGTCACGCCCA